AGAACATCTTGGTGAGCTTCTTAGCCTAACTCCTTGCACAGGGGATGAATAGAGGATGCTGTCCATTGCTGTGATTCAGGGATGCAGTAGTTGCCCTACAGTTGCCCAGCTTAAAGCAAGGGAAGAATCTGGATTCCCCATCCTTCCCAATGCCAGCAAAATTCCTCGCAGAAAACCCCTTTCCTGTAGCCAGCAAGGCGGGTGCAAATTTGCCTTTAGCACCTCTTAGATACTAAGCAATGGCTCTCAAAGGCCTGGAGTCTGGGGATTTGGGTTCTGTTCCCAGCTCTGCTGTAGGCTCCCCTCTGGCCTTATCTCTCAACGCTTCCATTTCTCCATTTGCACATGTAATTGTTAGTATTTCTCCTGGAGGGTGATGTGAGGGACAGTCAGTTCGACTGAGGTTGTTAGTGCTGCCCAGGGGATTTGAACATGTGATTCTTATTCATTGAACTAGAGATTGGGGCTTCTCAATGTGGGTTAGGTAGAGAGTATGTTGTGGGTACAGCCGTTCATTCTGATCATTATTGTTTCCTTGTGGCTCCCCTTTACACCTCCCTCAGGGTGTTCTGCATTTGTGCAGTGCTTAGCATAATGGGGCCAGACTGGGGGTCATAAGTGCTCCTACCTGACAAATAACCATAATGAATTGTGAAAATTTTAGCCTTTTAGATCCTTGAGCACAGCAAAGCCCCAAAACAAGAAGTGCTGTGGGAGCAAACGAGCAAGGAATGAAGTTCATCTGACCCTCTCATATGGTTCGCGCCCTGTGTTTAGTCAGGGAGGGTATTTTGTAATAGGCTTTTAAACAAAGAACTAATAAAGACAACCCTATCTTTTTTCTCCAGCAAATTCAAAAGTAGAATCAAAGTAAAAGTATAGTTAATATCCATCTAAGGCAGCAGTAATCAGCACAGTAAAAGCAAGTCCAGTAATGCCTTCCTAACCCCTGCCTCCCCTTTCCCTAAAACCCTTGTAAGTAATGCACCTTGCCCAGGAGAGACTGCACCCGCGATGTGCCTGCTTGGAAACGCAACCTCAAAATGAGAGAGTTGTGATGGGAATCAGTTTGCCGTCTAAATCCAGCTGCACGGCACCTTCACTGTACTGCACAGCCAGGCTCAGCTTTTATTAACCAGATGCACAGTGAATTTTATAATCATGGCCAGCACTGAAGCAGTACAAAGAGAGGTGGCTTGCCCCTGGACAAGTAGCTAGGGCTATTCAACCTAGTACTGACTGCAGGCTCAAATTGTGTAGGAGCCCTCTGAACTGCAGTCATGATGATGACTACAAAGCACGTCTTCAGGTTGTTGCTGAACTGGGACCTTAACTTTTCCTGTGTTCTGCCTCTGTAGCAGGGGCTTTGTGCTCTTATTTTATTGAGTCACCAGGAGGAAGGAGCTCTGAAGGGGGAATCTAATTGCCTGGTGATTGCCTTAAATTGCCGTCAGCAGAAAAGGCTTTCTTCAGCAGCTGGTCATTTCTCGGTGCCCTTCCGTCTCCCCACTTTTATCCATCCCTGCCTTGCTGCCCCCCACACCAGTAAGGGAACATTCATTCCTGTGTCTGGAGAGGCATGGCAGGGCTCTTCTGCCTCTTGCTTTGGCATGTGAGAATTAACAAAGCTTTTCTGCCTAGGTAGACCCAAATGTTGTGTGTGATTTAAGATGGGAATTTTCAAAGGAGCTTGGGAACATTAACACTTACCTGTTTCGTGGGATCTGGGTGTTGCATTCCCCTAAGCCCCTCCAAATATCCCAGTCTTGGTCCAGTAACATTGCATCCTATTTCTGTAGCACCTTCCATCTAAAGCACTTACCAGATATTAGGGCTCTCCCTCCTGGGAGCTACTGGTTTATCATTCCCAAGTACATAGATGACGGACTGAGACGCAGAGGTGATGGGACAGGTCCATGGCCACATCGCTAATAGTGAACCCAAGTCTCCAGACCTTCTACTCATGTCATTGCATCAAGAGTTAAAGCTCTTAGTACATACCACACGAGGGACCCTTGTTACGAGTCCAAGCTAATGGCATTCTCCTTAGCTTTAGCAGACACTGCTGTAACTGTCTGAAGCCTATTAATTTGACGAACAGAGCACTGTTTTCTCAGCTTTCGAGTCTGGAAGCCTTTCCCTTCTCCTTCCTTTTTTTTCCTGTTTTTGTCATGGATGAAAGCACCTTTGAAAGAAAAATTGTTTTTTAAAGCCTGGCTGAGTAGCTGGAGTTGAACATTCAGGGAGTCTGTAGAACAGATTACTTGACCTTGACTTTCAAAGGTCAAAGTTGGCCTATTCCCCATGAGAAGAAATAACACAGTTCAGTCTTTACTTCCTCAGTGGCCGTTCCGTAAATAGACTTGTGTGTTTTGAGACCACCTGCTCGATCATCAAAATAGCTTTTACCTCCACAGCATTAAACTCCAGGTTATGAAGGACAAAATTTGTCCCATCTTTAGTTTTCCTTGTATCTATTTATTTGGTGTGTGATGTGATGGCTTAGTTGCCTAGTCTCCAAGCCTTTCAAACGAGAAATAAAAGGTTATTGTGCATGGATTCTCACTAGTTATTTTTTACCTGATCCTCTGCGATGCAAATAAGAAAGAGAGAGAGAGAAGGAAGGAAATGCATATTTAGCCCATTTTAGTGTTTAAAGAAGCAGCTGAATTTTCAGACATTTATTCAACCAGAACCTTAACTTTGAGTCCTTTAACGTTCCTTTTTGCATCATGATTGCTAACAAGAAGTCATTCAATGGCTGAGCCTTACTGCTTATAGAGGTGCTTTTCAGGCCAAGAGCTCAAAGAGCAGTGGCCAGTCGCAGTTGGGTAGTATTTGCTCACACACCAAATGGCATGCCAACAGCAGGCCTCCTGATGGCACTCCTCCCCAGAGGTAGCGTTCCTTAATGGTGATCCTTAGAGGTGATTCTTAATGGTGTCAGGACACCAGGCAGCATGTGTGCCCACCTGAGAGGAGTTTGGAGAAGAGAAGACTGAAGAGGGATTTAATAGCTGCCTTCAACTCCCTGAAGCGGGGTCCAAAGAGGATGGAGCTGGGCTGTTCTCAGGGGGGGCAGATGAGATGACAGAACAAGGAGCAATGGGCTCAAATTGCAGCAAGGTTAGATATTAGGGAAAACTCTCTCTATAGTAGAAGACATGTTTGTCATGAAGAACTTGCAGCAACATGACAAGGAAAGTATTATTGTCTCAGTTTCACAGATGGGGAGGTGGGTATGGAGAGGTTAAATGATAGGGCTGAAGTGACAGGGATCGTGGGGCAGAGCCTGGAACTGAATTCTGATATCCAGCCCGGTGCTTGAAATACAAAACCTTCCCTGGCGGTCTTGGAGTTGGCCCTAGGGAAGAAGAGCCAGTCTCAGTGCCCGTTACTGGAAATGGTTTTCAGTCCCAGTGGAGAAGTCAGGGCTTGGATGGATCTTGTCATCTGAATTAGCGCCTCCAGGCACTGAGATGCAAACATACATCTCTGGTGAGAAGCTTGATTGAATGGATGTTGCAAGCGCGGGTTGTTTTTAAGCCGCAATGGAGCCACGTTAGCCAAGAGAGGAGAAACCTGCAGCACTTGCTCTGCAAAGAGAGAGAAGGATTTGGTTTCCATGGGCTGCCAGGGTCGCATGCGGATGTGCCACGATGGCATGAGATGTGGAAATTATACAGTAGGGTGATTCTTTCTTTCATAGCCATAAATGTTTGAATCATAAAGAAAAATAATAGTGCTTTATGCTTCTCTAGTGCCTTTATCTGAAGATCTCAAAAGAGTTTTGCAAACATTCATGAGGAGGCAGGGAGCAAAGCGGTCAGGTTTCCATTTCACAGATGAGCAAACCAAGGTGGAGAGATGAAGCACTTCGGAGCAGGTACCCAGATCCCTCAGCTCTTGGTCTAGCACTTTACTGTTAGTTCACACGCACTCTTTTTAAGTAATCCTGCTCAAAAATACTTATCAAAGATCTTGGACTGTAGATGTCTTGCTGGGCATAATATAATTGCATTCTGCTTTTTATGTTTTCTGGCATAGCCATTCTTTCCTTGTGAAGCTTTTCCATTCCAGTGTATAATCTGCTTGGACCTGGGAAGGAATCCCAAGGGCTGGAAAGTGGAAAGCTTGCTTTAAAATGTCAGCCCCTTTTTGAAGTCCATTTTGTTTATTTCTTGACTGGATGCCTTATCAGCAACAGCCTTTCCAGCTTCTGGAACAAGAAAGTTCTTGGCAAACTGTATCGCTCTTCAGATGAAGGGTCTTTTGGTGGCAAATGACTGAGTAGGTAGGAACGGGGAGAGCAGCTTGCTTTGCAGAGTGAAAACCTGAGCGTTTCTCTAATGGAAAGCAAACCACTGGTGCATTCAGGTACAAGAAACAGATCTTTGAAAGGGAAGGTCCATGCACTCCTGCGGCGTTATCACAGTGGTGTTATGGGAAACAAAATACTCAGGCATATTTGAAGCATGTGAAATGGCACAGACAAGGGGGCTACAATATATTTGCAGTGTCTGGGCAGCGGGGAATCTAATTGCAGGTTTCAAGTTCAGGGGAAGATACCACTGGGCAGGCTGGTGCAGCATAAGTCCTGGTTGTTCACAGCTCTGCGGGTGAACCTCGCCCCTGACTTGAGCACTCACTGCTGGTCCAGCGTTGGGCTCCCTTCGCTGCTTCCCTGATGCCCTTCCCCCTTAACCTGCAACCCACCCTGCTCTGTCTGCCCTGCCCTCTCTGTGACTTTTCCAGTGGCCCTTATATCTAGCTAGATCTTAATAGAGGAGGTGGAGAATAGTTAGGGAAGGGCCAGGTCAGGATTTTCCAGATGTTGAGTAAAAGCCAAACTCCATAAATAATTTTGTTTTCAAGGTGTGGCCTTCCTCATTTGGCCCTGGCCCATGAGCAGTCCTCCCTGGCACCTTTGCAGCACTACCATCATTTTGTTGCTCTCCCCTTTGTGTGTAATGCCTGATATGCTGCTTTTCTTCTCACAGTCCCTCGAATCAATGGACACCCCAAGCTGGACAGGCACCGCGAGCACCCCCCTGGCTATGACAGCTCTTCCACCATGATGAGCAGTGAGTTGGAATCCAGCAGCTTCATTGACTCTGATGACGACGATAATACGAGCAGGTAGGGAGCCAGTGTTGTGACATCATGTGTACCCCCAGGACAGAGTCACTATGTTTTCTGGTAATTATTTAGGGTCAGATTGTGATCCTGACTCTGCACCTGGTAGGGAACTTAAGGGACCACAGGGTGACTCCTTACCCCTTATGCACACACCCTCTCTGTCACCGGTGGGGAGCGAGAAGATTCAACCTCCCTCAACACATGGGCAGTCAGGGGTGGGGACTGGGTGGAGTTGATCTGACACAAGGGAGAAGGAGTCTGCACCTGGTATAGGGACAGGGAAGATGATGACTCCCACCGGGAGCAGACTATGACTTTGAGTCGCAGGCTAGTCCCTGATCTTGTTCTGAGTAACCACAACAGCACGCTGCCCCATGCCTGGGGATCATGCCAAAGTCACATCTGGACACTAAGTTTACAGGGCTCTTTACACTGAGTAAAACTCCCTCCCTACTCTACGGGAGGCTTGCAATGGAAGGCCAGACATAGGATAATAGTTCAGGTGAGGGGGAGTGAGGAGAGGTAAGACATGCAAGGTAAGAAGTGTTTCTGGGGCTGTTGCAGGAGAGAAGAGCTTTTCAAGTACAGCACTGCATTAAGTGTGTTAGTCATTAATTAAGTGTCCTGTCCTGTAGCTCCAACGTTGGGTTTACGATGTTGCTTGCTTTATATCACTGCCCAGTCAATTGATAGGATCATGTACTTAACTGGGGACTCCTTCAGAAGGATATTGCCCGGGGAACTGATGCAAGTCCAGCAACACTGATAATGACTGCAGCATCATTGGGATATTCATCCCACCCCGTGATGATACAGGCAGCTGACCACTGAACTAGAATTAGATGGGAGGAGTGCACACTGGTGTCATTTCTTGAGACCCTGCTCTATGAAGATGGGCACATCTGATCGCTCCTGCTTCCAAATACGAAGCAGCCTTTGGTGAATCTAAACGATGGAGGAGATCAGAAGAAGCATCTGCTGGAGCTGACTTCTGTGATCTGAGTGCTGCCCTTCTGCTACTACTTTTCATCTACCTCTGAATACCAGGAGCTGGCTAAGAAATTTGGACCTAGATCCAAAATGCCTCCTTTTTGGAGAGCCAGTTAAGAAATTACATTGCACATCCTTCAACTGCTCTGTCCTCCTGCTCTGTATCTTCAAAGCAAGGATGGGCACATTTTGAAACCTAAATAAAGTGCACACATCAGGGACTGCCACACATTTCTTTTCTGTGACTTATTGTGAGCTGCGAATCACAGGCTATTTGTAGAATTCGGCAATGGTGTGAATATCGTAGTAAAACATTTTCGTGAGATCTTCTAAATAAGTAGACACTTAATTAGTACCGTATTGGAAAGGAATTCCTATGGAATTACATATGCCCTGATCCCCAGGAGCAGAGAGGAATTCATCCCAGTTAATGCTGTTACAAAGACAGCCTGTGTTGCCAAATATTTACATGGACTTTAATTAATCTTTACCTTGCATGGAGCCAGGGGATGAGGGAGTCTGTGGGGAAAAGCTCCTTGCTGTTTTTAAAGTGATCGTCTGTACCAAAGCACCCTTGTCTGAACATGTTTGCCTTTCCTTGAGGGGTTTATAGGCTGACAGGTCCCTCAGCTTTCAGTTATGTATATTTTTAAAAGTCCTGTTACTCCGTCACTGCAAGGTCTAGAACAAAAATAGGTGTTATTTTTGCAAGGCCAGCCAGAGCCGATGCTTCGCTTTCCCCCTGCTGGCCTCTCAGTGGCAATGTGCTGTAAATGCTATCTCTAGAGGCTTACCAACGTCCCACGCTCCCAAGCCGTCTCTTAAGGGCTGAGAAAACCCATTCCAGGTCTCTGGTCCTCCTAAGAGACCTCTAAGAAAAGCAGGAAAGATATCACTCAGTGTTTTCATACTATACAGTGGAAAGGAACCAGTTTAAAAAAGCAATAAAGGGCTCTTACTCAGCAAGATACTGGAACACATGCCTCCCTCGGGTAGCCCCTTGCCGTGGGTAGATTTGCTCACAGGGATGCAGACATTCACTGCTTAGTGAACTGGGCTTCAGCCACTTTGTCTTTGCATGTCCCTTTGAGCACACCTCCCAGGTCAGGCTTTTGAGGAGGGTGCAGTGAGGTGTTTGGCACATAAATGTCACGTTGCCTGTGCACATGTGTGTTTGTGTCCTGCCAGTTCACCTGTGAAAAGGGGCGACCGGTTTTGTTCTGACCTGAAAAATATTTCCTCTCAGCTTTGGATGGTGTCGGGAACACGGATGCATGGCCAGCACGGGTAGACTCGCATGCTGGCAGAGATTTCCCTTGCAAACGTGAGCCTTGAGCTTGGACCAGGTGCATTGAAAATGTGCCGGCATCTGAAGCCCGACGGCCTAATCCTTTGAGTACCCTCCACGTATGAGTAATCACATTGCTGTTCAAGTACTTTGCAGGTTTGGGCGCTTTGCCTTTCACCTGCCTCTGCTCTAAGCTTCCTGGAAACCTTCAGGCCTCGCAAAAAAATAATAATTCCTGCAGCTCATTTTGTTTCTTGTAAATAAATGAATTATTTCCATGGCAGCAAGGGGCAGTAGGGTAGGATTAGCACAGTCAGGGTAGCAGTTGAAGCACAGTGTGCTGGACCCAGCTAAATCCTGTCTTAGATTTTAATAAAGAAAAACTCGGCGCCTGACCCAAGAAGAGAGAGGGAGGGAGGGAGGGAGAGATTCCTAGAAGCTGCTGCAGAGGCCTATTCCTTTCTAGGCAATGGCAGAAGCTTTTGGCACACACAATAGCTGGCAGCGAGCTTGTTAGGAAGAGCAGCTGAATGGAGTGCTTCAAGGTATGTTGTTCTCATCCCAAGACGATGTTCACAAGCAGGGCAAGGGAGTCTGCTGGCAGTGGGGAGTCGTCTGAATAGGCAAGTGCAGCCAAATAGTAGATCAAGCACGTTCCAGTTCTGCTGGAGATCAGGGCCTGGGGAAAGGGCCCAACGGGGTAAGTTTGCTTCACTTCACTGGTGCCGGAGGTTGATTTGCGAAGGGAGGGTGAGAGAAGCCACAGGGACCACAATCCAGATGGAGTGGGTTTCCTTTTGTTAGCAGCAAGGAAGATGCGAACTTGGCACTTTTCTAGGTGCGTTTGATTGATTTGGACTCAGAGTGGTGCGGCGGAGTTGGTTAATCTCCAAGCCAATGAAAGCTGTGCTGGGTTTTGATGAAGCAGAGGAAACTTTATTTCAGTGAGTGAATTGTTCGTGGGTACTGTAAGGCAGCACAGTTCTCTTCTCTATCTGCTAAATTTCTCTTTTTAACTAACATCCTGTTAGACTGAAATTCCTTTGACTTCTATGCGACATATGGTACAACAAGGCTTTTTTTTTTGTAACACTGGCATATCTCTGAGTCTTGGGTTCTCGAAATGCAAATGCAATTTCACTGACTCTCAGGGCTCAAGGAATTTTGTGCTTTGATCTTTAGATTCATGTTTCTATTTTTCTGCTGGAAAGCAGAAAATTGGTAGTTTGTTCTTAAAGCCACTCCACTCCGTCCCCCTTTTTTTAAATCACAGGATGTTGCAGGGTGTATTGCAGCCCATTTTCAAGCCATTAAATAGTTTAAATATAGTGGTGTTTGCAGGCAGTGGGTGATATTTTGAGTATGGAGCTGGCTGGGGAACTCCTGCTAAGCAGTCAGCTCAGTAAGGAGAGACTTTTATACACCCTCTCTTACTTAAAGGTAATAACTAGTTAGCAGCTGAGAGGTACTTAAAAGTTTTGCTTACTGAGAGCAATTTGCATTTGTTTTACATGTGTTGTACTTTACAACACCTAGAAGAACCATTGGAAATAGAGTTTTCTAAAGCATCTGTGTAAGTTGTATTTGGTTGAACCTGTTGATTATAGCATTTGTGGTCCTTTTCACCTCCTCTTTGGAGAGAATAGATTGCACTGATTTATTTATTGATTTTTGGTGATGTTAGAGTGATGTTGTAGCCGTAATGATCCAGTAATTATGCAAGAAGCAAGGATAACTTGGAGTGATCTCTTTTATTGGATCAACTGCATCGTTTGGATAGAGTTAGGCAAGCTTTTGGATTCAGGACGTTGCGATTTGCTTTCTCACTTTAAATCTCTTCAGGGGATTTAATAGCCCTTCCATTCCACAAAGTGTTAATGGCCTTTTGGCTACAGCAGGAGAATGGGAGGCAGGACTCCTGGCTTCCACTCATGGCCCTGACACTTTGTGAACCTGGGCAAATCACCCATTTTTTGCCTAGTTAACAAAAAGCAATGGTCATTTGTACCCACCTTTCAGGGATGTTGTGAAGCTTCAATAATTAATCCTTATTAAAGCACTTTAGAAATGCTGGGGGTAAGTGTTCCTGAATATATACTTGCAATATTTATTTATTGATGATGCTGGGAGTAGGCAGTTATATTAAGGCCACGAGTATAAAAAAGTTGGCAAGTTGGGGAGATGGCTATGCTGTGTTACAGTAACGTGCGGGAGGAAGTAGGTTCAATTCCTTTGATTTTTTTTCCCTAGCTATTTTTTAAAGAAATCCGCTATTTACAAATATGCTTTCACATTGTCTAGGAGTCTTGCCAAAGCAAACTGCCCTGCCTTCTGCCAACACCCAAGGTTATTAAGGCAGCTGAAGCCCTTATTTAAGTCCCTGCAAGAAGGTATCAAGAAGGAATTGAAGTAAATGCTTGCATATTTGCCGTTTTCCCCCTGCATAACTGTACTCTCCTTTTCTTTCTTCTACCTTTGTTCTGTGAGTACCCTTTGCCAGTGTTCTCCATGTGCAATGGGAAGATGCCTGGGCACAAACAGAGGCTGCCATTTTGTTCCTGACTATCACAGGCCCAAGAGTGAGAGCGCCAATTTGCATCAAATAAAAAATCCCCCAAATGATTGCTTGTGCTTTAGAACTGAGACTGATTTCCACCCCTTTGTGGTTTCTGGAGCAGCGTTGCAGAACTTGCAGTATCACAGACCAAATTAATTCCACTTC